AAGTCGAACGGTTTAACCGCACACTCGAGAAGGCCATTCGCGCTGCAAATACCGAAGGAAAAGATTGGAAAAGCGAGCTCAACACCTTTTCACTCAATTACCGAGCAACAGCTCATTGCACTACTGGAAAATCACCCGCTGTTCTCTTGTTTGGTCGAGAGATACGCACCAAGCTCGCGTCGTTGAACACTAGCCGTTGGCCAGCTTCAACGTCACCTGTTGTCGACCCCGCCATTCTAGAGCGTGATCGTTGTCAGAAAGCAAAGATGGAGAAGTATGCGAATGAGAAAAGACGTGCAGCACCTTCCAACATAAAGAGGGGTGACAAAGTTCTTTTGAAGCAAGAACGAAAGAATAAGTTATCCACAAAATATGACCCAGACCCGTATATAGTGGTAGGAACGAAAGGCACGAGTTTACTTATAAAGAGACGAGCCGAGCCCGAGATAATGAGAAATTCGTCAGCAGTTCGAAAATTGCCGCCAGAGGGAACAGATAGTCATCCACACGAAGCCAAACGGAAACCAGACCAAGTGGTCGATACAACAGCAAAGCCTAGACCCCAGCGAGAGCGAAAACCTCCTGAATATCTTGGATATGAAAAGTGACATTCACACAGTCCGTAAGAGTAAAACAGTATACGAATTGACAGTTACAAACTCTGACAATTGATATTTAGTTTTGCATGTTTATTGACGTTTGGTTAAGCATTTTCACGTAAAAGAGGGATGTAGTGTCTGTGACGTCACAGTCACGTGAGGAACACGAGGGGAGACAGAGTAGTGTTGGAGAGAGAGAGAGTATTGTAGTAAACGAGCGAGAGAATAAATCCTTAATGTTTGATAATATAAAAACTATAATAATAGTGTTCTAAATTCTATCAGTCAAATTCATGCCGGGATATATAATCTCGCATATACTTTGTATTGTTTGAAGGCATTCGAAAGAGCAAATATGACAATATACAGTCTCCCCACAGTTTGATCATTTTGACAAAAGAACGTTAAAGGGCATATGACTCGAAAATTGACGGTGTTTTTTTTAGTCTAATTTGAATGATTATTGAAAGCTGTAGAGTAACTTCTTTGATAGATTTTTGTTTTCTTGCTTCGTTTTGAAGATATTTCATTTTGTATGATATGCAAAGGACCAACATTCTACGTCACACATGTATAATGATTTAGGCCTAAAAGCTGCATATATTTAATACGACTAAACACAATCAGTAGAAAACCTACATGGGTGTTGTTGTGGACAATCTCGTGCTCATCATTCATTTTGAGCGAATGTATTTGATAGTGACAAAATTATATAACATTTTAAAGTAAATCATTATGCATGCGTGACGTAGAAAGTTAGTCCTTTGCATATCATACAAAATAAAATTTCTCCAAAACGAAGCAAGAAAACAAAAATCTGTCAAGAAGTTACTCTACAGTTTTCAATTATCTTTCAAATTAGACTAAAAAATAACACCGTCAATTTTCGAATCATATGCCCTTTAAATTAAAAAATACTGAGTGAATGTTTTCATCAGGACGTACCAAAATAACATTTTTGATTTTTATTATATAAATCATGCGCATTATAACGCTGTTGTTGGCATGAACAATGACTGACGTTAACAACTATATACGCACGGTGGGGTGCATAAGTTTCAGCAATTAACAAAGACTTAGTGTACTGACCACATCTACAATGCTGCTTTCATATGGAGGCGCTTATGGTAAGCACACAAAAAGACAAATCATGTAGGTATAAGTGAAATTTTATATTACAAAAATTGTCCAACTACCGTTTGATCTATATGTGCCTTAAAAATCAATTCGAGGAAGTACAATGTCATCGCCCCCCTTGCCCTTTAGTAAGGGGGAGCAGGGGGGAGAGAAAGTGCCCTTATAGATAAAAAAATTCTAACCCAAAAATATGAGGTACAACGATTAAAAAGTATGAATTACAGGTGGAATGTACGTAATATTGAAATATAGTGAAATTTTCTGGAATATTGTGTCAAAAATTGTGTTTTCAAAAGTTTTTGCCCTCGTTTTGGTGAATTAAGGTCCTGGAAAAAAATTTCGGAAACGAAATATTAATTAGTGGTTGCCCTTACGTCAACATTGCCCCCCTGTGCCCTACCCTCGCTCCGGCGTCCCTGATCCCAGGAGTTATCTGGCAACATTTGTATACGCATATATGTATGACTATATATGTAGACCATGTAAAGTCCGTTCTGCGCATACGTTCTGCGCAGCTTACATTCCAATAGTCGGAACCCGACCGTAAATGTTATTAATATTTCGTATCTTTTGAATTTTCTTGAATTGAATCTCTAGTCTGTATTAATTAACAAGCATAGCGAACCAGAAGAGTGTTAAAAATTCAGTATAATATAAATCTAATCATTTTTGTATCCGCGAAGCAGATATATTGCTACCGCAAACGTAACCGTACCGTATGTTAACATATAGCCATTCAGCGACGAGCTTATATATTTTAAGCCATTTTATGCCAATTTAAGCCAATCAGCGATTCGTTCACATCAATT